CGTTTCTACTCAGCATCTTATCTCTTGCATCTCGTTCTGTGTACCGCTGTGCCTATGCATGACCATTGACGTACACAACATGCACTACACCAAAGGTGCGCCAATGTTTTTTCTTAACACAACATACACTACACCAAGTCTAACCCCACCCACAGGTCTTACGCCAGCTCAGAAGGCGGACCCCACCACGCCTCAGCGGAAGAGGCGTGTGTCCGAGAGTGCTACAATCGCGGGAGCGCAGCTCATTGCGGACGCCCTGAAGGAGTGCAGCCAGGAAGGCCTGGCCAAGCTGGACGCGCTGACACGCTTGATCATGAGTGCGGTAGCGTCGGTGAGCGCGCCTCCTGAGGCGGCTGATCCGCCGGCTGCAACGACGAGCGCGCCTCCTGAGACGACAGATCCGCCTCCTGAGACACCAGGCGCGTCTACACCAGCAGATAGCTCGCCTACCTTCATGGATCCTACGAAGCAGTAGTGGCCAGGTGGTGGCGCCTCAGGTATGCCTTCCGCAAGCACTTCCCGAAGTACCTTCTCCTTTTCTGCAACTCCTTAGCCGTTGCTCGCTGCAAAATAGGCCACTGGAAACGAGCCATCACCCCTCGCATCCACCAACCATTGCTCCCGCTGCCATGCCTTCTCCCTTTGTTTGTCTTCTTGCTGCGCAGGCGGTGGTGCATCATCTTGGTGATCATATTGTGCAATATGATGATGCACCCGACGCCGGCACATACACGACCAAGACGGCATTCGTGCCTCCTCCCGAAGAGGCGCCAACGGCCTTTGAGCGCGCCGATGCACCTCTCCACCGGCATCCTTGTGGCGGACTGCACGTAGTTGAATAGCTGTTCCCACCCTTTGAAGAGTCGCTTGCTAGGGGCATGTAGGGGCGTCAAACAGTAGGGGCGTAGTGGGTATGCAACATCTCCCAATAGCTGATAGTCACCTAGGTCCCCTTTCTCTAGCCGTTCGTACAACTTGCTCTTGATGAACACGCGGTGATCATGTACTGCGCCAGGATACCCGACCATGTAATCCCATATTACCCCCCTTGCGTCGCACGTTACTTGCAACTGCACCGAGTAGTGGGACTTGCGGTTGTAGTATTCCGTGCGATGATTCTCCATACCGCGCACGGGAATATGAGTCCCATCCACGGCCCCCACCACGTTGGGGACTCCCTTGATTTTCTTGAACTCTGCAGCCATGCCTGGGAGTTCCTCCGGTGATGGGAACACAACCCAATCTGCCTTGAAAAGCCTTGGAAAATGCACAAGGAAGGTGTCAACCAGCTTGTGACATTTTGTCTTGGAAACACAAAAAAAAATAGCCATGTCAATGTAAGACAACGCCGATGCAAAGTACTTGATGGGAATTAAAACACATAGCTGCAGAGGAACATGGTACTTGTGCACAAAAGGATCGAAGACGCCGGCCATGCCTTTCGCAATCATGAGCATAATCTCCTTGCCGATCCGGAAGACGTCCTGGAATTCGTGCTCCGACATGAGTTCAATGTCCGACACCCATTCGAGCATACGATCCTGTCGCCTCCTCTTCCGCGTGAGAGTTCGCTCCTTGTGAAATTCTTCATCTTCACCACCTTCAACGCTGCCATTGTCCACCAAAGTCAGCCATGACTGGGTGGCGGTTGCAGCAGACTGAAGGAGAGTTTCGTTGAAGAAGGTGTGCCAAAGCTGGACTAAGCACCCAAGAAGGGAGAGCTGCTGAGAGGTGAGCATGATGTTGATTGGCACAATTGGTGTTGTGTTTGTGTTTCTGTTTGCCTTTCATATATACAAAATCTGGGATGATGTTGTGGCACTTGTGGAACTGCTTCTGTGCATTTCCAACCTTCTCGTATCGGGGCCTTGAGCAACTGCAGCTTGCGTTCGTGCAAATCGGGGGTGGCAGGCAGACGTCAAGTACGTGGGGGGTAATTGGGGAAATTGACGGCCGAATCAAATGCGAGCGTGAAAATGTCGCACGTGCAAACCCTGTTATATCTTAGGGCTTGAACGTGCTGTCGTAACATTTTCGCTGGGTTGCAATGCGACATTTGTGCCGTTCCGAGTCGGAACACCCGAAGTCGAATCGGAAAACCCGCGGCTCGGGAAAAAAAAATCGGATGACACAAAGTGCTGTTAGGTGAGCCCCATGGCTGCAAAGAGCGAGTCCACTGACAGCTGCGGCGCCTCTCCATTTGTTGCAATGCCGTATGCCGCTTCCACACTCGCCACCAGCGCGAATGCCCAACAAGCATCTGGGTATGACATGAACTGTTTAGTGCACAAAGTGAGTAGATGAGAAGAGTGTTGAAAAACCACCACAGTGGATCCTAAACATGTATTGAGCCGAGCATTGCAATGGTTGGCTGAAACATGAAAGTGGCCAGCAGCAGATTAGCCGGCGGAGAACAAGAAGACTGTAGCGACCATACGCGACACACCAGGCATGCTCTTGGCTCCAACATGCTTCCCCAAGTTCGCCATTCATTTCACTCACTGCAGTCTTCCTGGTCCTTGACGGGCCAGCCAAGAAAGGGCACGGAGTCCCAGGAAAAATAGTCGCTGATGACCCACGAGTCCTGCTTGCCAGGTGCCACTCGGTAGTCCGCACTCACGTAGCGCGGGAAGGGGCTGGCCCACGCTGGCATGTACGTATTCGTTAATAGCTGCAGGCCATAGGCTGGGATGCTCTCAAGAGTTGCATCATGGGAGAATGAATGGGATGTGAACAAGACAGGTTATAACAAGGGCAATGAAGTGAGGGACAGTGAAATCATAAGCTAAATTGTCAAGTACGCCTATGACGTATATACGCTTGTATAAGCTAACATATATCCGCTATCCGTGGACATACGCTTCTTCGGGCAGCGAAAGCAAAAAACATCAGCCAGGGCTAGTATAGGAGGGGAATCTAGGGGGTTTTGTTTCAGAGGTAAGACCACTCTCTACACACATGACTAATTTAAAACCCTGCTACCACCACAACTAAGCCCTTCCACGCATCCTCTTTACCCTACCTACTACTAGGCATACTCGCCCTCCAGCAAGTCATCCTCGCTTTCCTCCCAACCACCTCCTCGTCCACGCTTGCACAAATTGCAGTCGTGAATTTCGACTTTGGCAAAATTCTTGTCATGCCATTCTGCGTTCTACATATTCACTTTTTTCCGGCCGGGCTACAACCAAAAAAGGTTGCCATCTTTTAGCGTATTCCCTTGTGTTTAGCATTTACAGTGTACACACCAGCGTATATCCACTAAATGCAAAGTGTCCCTAGAAAGTTTGGCAACATAAATTATAAGTTCCATCAAGTCTTTGTTTCTCACAGTTTGCTTGCTGGGCTGCATCTCTTATCTCATAGTACTTCCACCTCATGTGGCTGCAGCTTGATTGCTAGTCCACATCCATCTGACAGGCACTCCGTTCCACACTGCTCCATGTATTCAGTGCAGGTGCACCTGTATTGATACCCCCTTCAGCAACTGTATTGTACTGAGGCACCTTTCAGAATCAAGTTTTATTTTTTTCCCTCAGTTCGGTAAGATAAACAGTAAACATGTTCTTGGGAGGTTGGTTGGTGCACTGTGCACCATTTGCAACCGTAGCTGTCTCGTACCCTTTCTTATCAAAGGGATACGTATTTCATATCGAAAAAAAGTCTACAGTAGCCTAAAAAGGTAGTGAAGGTACAGAAACATGGCGAGTGAGTAAAGAATGCAGGTGGAAAATCAAACAAACAAGAGGGCCAGTATCGGTACAGATGGTACAGATGTTTATAACCCTCAGTCAGTTGCATGGTTGCCTCCTTGGCCCTCCTTTGTCAGTCGTAATTGGGGATCTTCTGGGTGCTCCACCACGAGCATGGGAAAATAGCTCTCACCTGGAGTACGTGTGACTAGCCCGGGAGAGGCAGGAAGGCCTGGGAAAGGACAAAACAATTGGAGAAAAATAAAAGGTATTACGACACTCAGATTTACAGTGACTGTTGAATCGCATCGATTGCGAAACCATCTATCAACACTCAGCGCTCAGGGTTGAGCAAATACTGAACTTGAGCCGGTTCAGGGTGAGCTGGGTTAAAGTCGCCCCTTAGTCAAATCAAGCCACTTTTGGTTGTGTTCGAATCGAAATGGTTGGGCTCGAGGACCGAGTTTCAATCCTTGCACTCAAACCATAAACTTTGTGTCGAACCGGGAGTGGTTAAGTATGGTTCGACGTGGCTTGGCACTCAGTGCAGGTTTGAGGTTGGACACTCAGTGCAGGTTTGAGCTGTACTGAATGGCTAAAAACAAACTGAGCCAATCTACAGTTTGGCACTTTGCTCGTCCCTACTAGCAGTACCCTCATCAGGCCAGCACTATTCTCACACACCCAGCATTACCTCCATCGCCCCAACACTACCGTCATCAACCCAACACTGCCCTCATCAACCTGGCACTACCCTCATCAACCGAGCAGTGCCCTCATCATCAACACAATACTTTGCATCTCCATCAACTCCCATAGCCTCATTGTCACCTCCCTCCTTCACAATCGGATCTGCCCTAAATGTTAACCATCAGACTGTGCTCGTCCCTCAAGCGCCACAGCCGCTAACTTTACATGAGAATTTGAGTGTAGTGCTTCATCTGACTCTTTTTTTCTTCTCAAAAAGAACGAGTGTCGAGTTCCCCTTTTTGGCCGACAGCCTCAACAGAGTCAACCTTAGTGAAAATATTTGGATAAAGCAAAACTGAAAGAGTTTTCTATCTTGTTGAGTGCACGCAACACTTGTTCATAAAAGCAACTCGTGGTGTGATCTGCAGGGCAAGGCGGTGTGGTGTGGGGAGTGGGGAGGTGTCTTGTGCATGCAGGACATAGTTTGTTGGGCTGGTAGGCAGAAACGAGTAGAGTAAAACTCGTTCGAGATTTGAAATGCTCAACTAAAAGGGAAAGTAATGAGTCAGGTCTGAGAACAAAAAAACTTGGTCGAGCTTTACTCCACAAGACTCAATTCTAGATGGAGTGAGCATAAAGCAAGCTCGCGATCTGTTCATGCTTATACTGACCTGTGTCCACTGTAGATTCAAGAATGACGTGTTTTTGAAATGGCTTCACGGTGGTGGAGGCCACAAAGCCAAAGAAGAAGGCGTGCTGCTCCTCCCCACCCTGCAGCACCTCACACAGCGCCAGCCTCCTCTCCAGCACCGCCTCCTGCGGCTTCTCCTTCGAGTCAGCAAGGAAGACCTGGATGGTGCCGGGATCCCCCGGCTCATAGTCCACCCACGCCGTGTATGCCTTCTTGCTGCTTAGAAGGAATGGTGACGGCACAGCGGCTAGCGACTTGTCCTCGCCTCGAATGTTCAGCCCCACATGCGGGCTGCTCATGTCTCCGTGCTGCTTGTCTTGCCGAGTGTCAAACTCAACTGCCACACTCCGCATGTCCATTCCACCATACCCCACACTGGTGCCTCTCCCCACCCGGTCGGTTGCCGAGACAACAAAGGCAAAGCCGTTGAAGCCCACGCGGCCCGATTGAGGCGAGAGGGAGAAGGTGAAGTTGGCATGGAAGGCCAGCTGCAGCCCACACCCTGACAGCCCCTGCCCTGCCTCGAACACAAACAGGGTCACTGGAGCTGTGGTGAAGTTCCCCCTCGTCTCCCGTTCTGTCCCCTTGGTGAGCACAGATGCTGGCGGGAGAACTGGCTGGCTGCTTGAGTAGCTCATGTTCTGGCCTGTGACAGATATACGGCCAGGAGTCAGATATGGAGGCATGATAGGGTGAGATGAGGTGCAATTCTTACGAAATCAAAGGTGGTCAAACAACAAGCAAGGTTCTGGGGTTCATGTAGTCCCACCATTTCGTCAATCTGCAATCATGTTCCTACGATGTCTAGTCGTGTTCCCTTACCTTGTGCAACACAGTCGATGTCTCCAGATCGCACGAATCCTGTGTCGCACAGACATGTGGGTGCCAAGTTAGGACCCTGTGGATAGCACACTCCATGTCCACCACACGCAGTAGCACCACCAGCTGCAGAAGAGATGCCACAAAATACATTGCATGCTGCCTCCTGCCGCTGCGGCACCAAGGCACAGCCCAGTGGCAGCGTGAAGCAGTTGGCATCAAAAGTAAGCGGCTGGCATGCCCCGTCGGGCAGAGGGCCTGAGAGGAAGTTGCTGGAGAGATCCAGGTTGAGCGCAGCAAGAGGCTTCAGTGGGCCGCCTGTGAGGTAGTTGTGAGAGAGGTCGCTGCAGGGGAGAGGGGCAAGACTCAAGAGAAGGTGGAATGCAGTCTCAGGAGCGCCTTAATGCATATGGATCTGAGAAAGTGGAATGCAGGAAGCGAAGACCTGAGGAGTTGTTGAGAAGATTGGGTACCCGGATGGGGGAGCAGAAGGGGACACACAAGAGATGGCAGAAGGGAAGAATGAGGGGAGTAGAAGGGGAAGGTGAGGTGGACGAGAAGGATGCAGAAGAAGGAGCGGAAGAGGTGGCATACGACACGAGGATGAGGAATGTAGGAGGTGAAGAGATAAATGAGGAAGCAATCCACAGTGAAGGCAGCTCTAAAGGGCACTTCCACACTGATGGTGTTGCCATTAATAAATAAATTTCCCTGATTGGTACTGCATAGTGCTTCAGAACGATTCTTCTTGACCGTTTTGATTAGAGAGTTTGCTTGGCATGTCAGCGAGGCGAGAAAGAGAAACGAGCGTGGGTACATCATGAGTATGCATGGCACAGCAGGTGCTCCTGTATGCGATGGCGTGCATCTGTGATAAACCGAGTATGTACAAGAGCAAGCGAAAGAGTGAGGAAAGGTGTGGGTCGTACAAGAATGTGAGCTGCGTGAGCTGGGTGAGAGTGCTTGGTATGCTCCCATACAGCTGGTTGAAGGCAAGAGACCTGGCGGTGATGGTGGTGAGACGGAAGGATGTTAGAAAAGTGATTGGAGGGATAGAACGGGAGAATCAGGTGTTAAACTGTATTATGCTTGTAGGCTGTAGTGGGGTAGCCAATATGGGGTACAACCCCAACTAGGGTTTCATATTTTGTACCCAAAACTTCTGCTAGTTCATCATTCTTGCCTAGCTATTCTGACATGGTATCAGAGCAGGAGGTCCCTAGGACCTACCGACCGTTTTTTTTAAGGGCCCACCACCGCTCGCATGCGGTTACCACGCTACCCCGTGCCCTAGCCTCGTTAGCGCCCTCGCGCGCACCCTCGTTAGCGCCCTCGCGCGCCCCTTCGTTAGCGCCCTCGCGCGCCCCTTCGTTAGCGCCCTCGCGCGCCCCTTGCTAGCGCCCTCGCGCGCCCCTCACTAGCGCCCTCGCGCGCCCCTCGCCGAGCCGCCCGCTCGCAGCCCGCCCGCCCGCTCGCTGCCCGCTTCGCGGCCCGCTCGCTACGCAGCCCGCCCGCCCGCTCGCTGCCCGCTTCGCGGCCCGCCCGCTTCGCAGCCCGCTCGCTCGCTGCCCGCTTCGCGGCCCGCCCGCTTCGCAGCCCGCTCGCTCGCTGCCCGCTTCGCGGCCCGCCAACTTCGCAGCCCGCCCGCCCGCTCGCTGCCCGCTTCGCGGCCCGCCCGCCTCGCAGCCCGCTCGCCCCGCTGCCCGCTTGCAGCGCCGCCTGCCCGCCGCGCTGCCCGCTTCCCGGCCCGTCCGCCGCGCTGCCCGCTCGCAGCGTCGCCCTCCCGTCGCGCTGACCGCTTGCAGCGCCGCCTGCCCGTAGCGCCAGCCTCGCCCGCTGCTCTCTATCCGTGCACAGTCGCCTTCCCCTGCTGCGGCAGCTTGCGTTACTCTGTCACACTGTCGCTATGGCTTCCATCCGCGTGCTGTCGTTCGATGCTGAGGGCCGCCCTGTGCGGTTCACCGCTTGGCTAGATGACCTGCAGCTGTTTCTCCTGAGCGATAGCAAGGAGCATGTGTCGCTCTATGATTACGCGTCTGGTGCTGCGCCTGCCCCTCCTGCCACAGCTGAGCTTAGTGTTCGTTCCCACTGGCAGACTCGTGACGCAGCTGCTCGCCTAGCCATTCGCAGTCACCTGCCGTTAGCTGAGCTAGAGCATTTTGGCGACTGCAAATCCGCTAAGGCCCTGTACGACGCTGTCGTCGCTCGCTACTCCTCGCCTGCCACAGCCGAGCTTAGCCGCCTCATGCTGCCGTACCTGTTCCCCGATCTGTCCACCTTTACTACAGTCGCCGATCTTATCACCCACCTTCGCACTAGTGATGCTCGCCTGCGTGCCGCCCTTCCCACCGAGTTCTGCGCTAAGAACCCCCCTCCACTGTACTGGACACTCCACTTCATAGTCACCCGTCTCCCTGACACCCTCCGCTCAGTTCGAGACCACTTCCTTGCTCGCTGTCCCACTGAGCTCACAGTCGCCCTCCTAGAGGAGCACCTGCTCGCGGCCGAAAAGAGCATTGTAGCTGTCGGTGCTGCTCGTGGCGCTCCTCGCACCCCCATCTTTGAGGGATGCTCTCCCTCTCCCCTCGCTCCCTCCTACGCTGCTGCTGCTGCTGTTGACTTCCTTGGTGCTGAGTCTGTTGGCGCTGCTTCTACTCCTGGTGGGAGGCGCCGCACCGGCAAGGGCAAGGGGGGCAAAAGTGGTGGTGGTGGCGCTGGGGGGGGAGGAGGTGGGGGAGGTGGGGGGGGAGGCGGTGCTGGAGGGAGCGGTGGCGGGAGCGCTGGTGGGAGTGGGGTCGGTGGTGGAGACGGGGGCGGCGGAGGAAGCAGTGGCAGTAGTGGCGGCGGCGGCGGTGGCGGCGGTGGCGGTGGTGGCGGTGGCGGTCGGAGCGGTGGTAGTGGTGGCGGCGGAGGTCGGAGTGGAGGCACTGGCTCGGGCCAGAGCTCCCAGCAGCAGCAGCGTCCCCAGACGACCCAGCAGCTTCGTGAGTGGCTTGCTCAGCGTGGGACGTCGGGGGCCAGTGCCCGCTGTTCTTATGTCATTCGCACAGGTGACCGCAAGGGACAGACGTGTGGGAGGTTCCACACCCCGTACCGCTGCTTCTCCCGCCTTGACGACGCTTGGCGTGAGGAGATGGGTGCGGATGTTGAGCGCCCCCGCTGGGCTGAGCTCATGAGGGCTGGTGTTGATGTCTTTGCTCTTGACTATGATGCTATTATTGCTGCCATGTATGCATTGACTGTTAGTGCCGAGGGAGACTGTTACTTGTGTGTGCCGCCTGACCCAGGTATAGAGCCTGCTGCCCTGGGTACTAGTGAGTCTGCTCTCTCTGGTATGGTGCCCCCTGTACTTGCTCCCCCCAGTGCTGTCCCGGCTGGTTTCGAGTCTGCTCTCTCAGGTACAGCACCCACACAGACTGCTCTCTCAGGTACCGCACCGGCTGAGGCCTGTCACACCTTCACCCTTGACTCAGGTGCTTCCCGTTGCTTCTTTCGTGACAGTACTGAGCTCACACCGCTTCCTGCACCGGTCCCAGTCTCCTTGGCTGACCCCTCTGGGGGCCCAGTCCTTGCCCAGTCCACCACTGTGCTCCCTTGTCCGGCGGTTCCGTCTGGCTCGTTGTCGGGTTTCCACCTCCCCTCGTTCTCGACGAACCTGGTGAGCAACGCTGTCCTCCAGGATCAGTGGGTTGATACCTTTACCCCTGGCGGACAGCGTGTGGCGATCTGCACGTGCTCCAGGACCGGCCGTCACCTGGCTACGTTCACCCGTCGGCCGGGGTCGAGTCTCTACACACTGACCACTGCGTCTCCCCAGGTAGCTGCTGTCGGTCAGGTGTCTGCGTCAGGTCTGGTGGCCCACGCCTGTGAGTGTCGTTCCCTGTCGCACCAGACTCTTCTCTGGCACCACCGCCTGGGTCACCCCTCCTTGCCACGCCTTCGTGGCATGCACCGTCGCCTCCTTGTGTCCGGTCTTCCCAGGTCCCTCCCTCCCCTCCCTGCCTCGCCTGCGCCGCCTTGCCTTCCTTGCGTCGAGGGGCGGCAGCGCGCCGCTCCTCACTCCTCCTCGTTCCCCCCGACAGAGGCTCCTCTGGAGACCCTCCACCTGGACGTGTGGGGCCCAGCCCGCGTTCGTGGTCAGGGCGGTGAGCGGTACTTTTTGCTGGTTGTCGACGACTACTCGCGTTACACCACGGTCTTCCCCTTGCGCACCAAGGGTGAGGTCCCTGCTGTTCTGATCCCTTGGATCCGCACGGTTCGTCTCCAGCTCCGCCGCCGTTTCCGGACGGATCTTCCTGTCCTGCGTCTGCACTCTGACAGAGGTGGTGAGTTTTCCTCCGATCTCTTGAGGACCTTCTGTCAGGCGGAGGGCATCGAGCAGACCTTCACGCTTCCGGACTCCCCACAGCAGAATGGGGTTGCTGAGCGTCGCATTGGCCTGGTCATGGAGGTCGCTCGTACCTCCTTGGTCCACGCGGCGGCTCCCCATTTTCTGTGGCCGTTTGCTGTCCGGTACGCCGCGCATCAGCTCAACCTCTGGCCCCGTGTCTCCTTGCCGGAGACCTCGCCCACACTGCATTGGACGGGGGAGGTTGGCGATGCGTCGCGCTTCCGGGTGTGGGGTGCTCGTGCCCTTGTCCGCGATACGTCTGCGGACAAGCTCTCCTCCCGCACGCTTCCCTGTGTCTTCCTTGGCTTTGTCCCTGACGCGCCTGGCTGGCAGTTTTACCACCCCACCTCGCGCCGGGTCTTCGCCTCTCAGGATGTCACCTTTGACGAGTCGGTCCCCTTTTACCGTCTCTTCCCCTACCGCACTGCCCCCCTCCCTCCCCCGCCGCTTTTCCTTGCTCCTGGTCCCCCTCCGGTA